GTTCACTAGTGTCAGCTGGTAATGAAGCCAGGGTTCACTAGTGTCAGCTGGAATGAAGCCAGGGTTCACTAGTGTCAGTGGTAATGAAGCCAGGGTTCACTAGTGTCAGCTGGTAATGAAGCCAGGGTTCACTAGTGTCAGCTGGTAATGAAGCCAGGGTTCACTAGTGTCAGATGGTAATGAAGCCAGAGTTCACTAGTGTCAGCTGGTAATGAAGCCAGGGTTCACTAGTGTCAGCTGGTAATGAAGCCACGGTTCACTAGTGTCAGCTGGTAATGAAGCCAGGGTTCACTAGTGTCAGCTGGTAATGAAGTCAGGGTTCACTAGTGTCAGCTGGTAATGAAGCCAGGGTTCACCAGTGTCAGCTGGTAATGAAGCCAGGATTTCACTTCAGTTCAAGTGTGTGTAATGAAGACAGGGTTCACTAGTGTCAGCTGGAATGAAGCCAGGGTTCACTATGTGTCAGCGGTAATGAAGGCCAGGGTTCACTAGTGTCAGCTGGTAATGAAGCCAGGGTTCACTAGTGTCAGCTGGTAATGAAGCCAGGGTTCACTAGTGTCAGCTGGTAATGAAGCCAGAGTTCACAAGTGTCAGCTGGTAATGAAGACAGGGTTCACTAGTGTCAGCTGGCGATGAAGCCAGGGTTCACTAGTGTCAGCTGGTAATGAAGCCAGGGTTCACTAGTGTCAGCTGGTAATGAAGCCAGGGTTCACTAGTGTCAGCTGGTAATGAAGTCAGGGTTCACTAGTGTCAGCTGGTAATGAAGCCAGGGTTCACCAGTGTCAGCTGGTAATGAAGCCAGGGTTCACTAGTGTCAGATGGTAATGAAGCCAGAGTTCACTAGTGTCAGCTGGTAATGAAGCCAGGGTTCACTAGTGTCAGCTGGTAATGAAGCCAGGGTTCACTAGTGTCAGCTGGTAATGAAGCCAGGGTTCACTAGTGTCAGCTGGTAATGAAGCCAGGGTTCACTAGTGTCAGATGGTAATGAAGCCAGAGTTCACTAGTGTCAGCTGGTAATGAAGCCAGGGTTCACCAGTGTCAGCTGGTAATGAAGCCAGGGTTCACTAGTGTCAGCTGGTAATGAAGCCAGGGTTCACTATGTCACTCGGTAATAAGCCAGGGTTCACTAGTGTCTGCTGGTAATGAAGCCAGGGTTCACTAGTGTCAGCTGGTAATGAAGCCAGGGTTCACTAGTGTCAGCTGGTAATGAAGCCAGAGTTCACAGTGTCTAGCTGGTAATGAAGCAGGGTTCACTAGTGTCAGCTGGCGATGAAGCCAGGGTTCACTAGTGTCAGCTGGTAATGAGCCAGGGTTCACTAGTGTCATGCTGGTAATGAAGCCAGGGTTCACTAGTGTCAGCTGGTAATGAAGCCAGGGTTCACTAGTGTCAGCTGGTAATGAAGCCAGAGTTCACAAGTGTCAGCTGGTAATGAAGCCAGGGTTCACCAGTGTCGGCTGGTAATGAAACCAGGGCTCACCAGTGTCAGCTGATAATGAAACCAGGGTTCACCAGTGTCAGCTGGTAATGAAGCCATGGTTCACCAGTGTCAGCTGGGAATGAAGACAGGGTTCACCAGTGTCAGCTGGGAATGAAACCAGGGTTCACCAGTGTCAGTTGGTAATGAAGCCAGGGTTCACTTTTGTCAGCTGGTAATGAAGCCAGGGTTCACCAGTGTCAGCTGGGAATGAAGACAGGGTTCACCAGTGACAGCTGGGAATGAAACCAGGGTTCACCAGTGTCAGCTGGTAATGAAGCCAGGGTTCGCTAGTGTCAGCTGGTAATGAAACCAGGGTTCACTAGTGTCAGCTGGTAATGAAACCAGGGTTCGCTAGTGTCAGCTGGTAATGAAACCAGGGTTCACCAGTGTCAGCTGGTAATGAAACCAGGGTTCACCAGTGTCAGCCGGTAATGAAGCCAGGGTTCACTAGTGTCAGCTGGTAATGAAACCAGCGTTCACCAGTATCAGCCGGTAATGAAGCCAGTGTTCACCGGTGTCAGCTGGTTATGAAGCCAGGGTTCACCAGTGTCAGCTGGTAATGAAACCAGGGTGCACCAGTGTCAGCCGGTAATGAAGCCAGAGTTCACTAGTGTCAGCTGGTAATGAAGCCAGGGTTCACCAGTGTCAGCCGGTAATGAAGCCAGAGTTCACTAGTGTCAGCTGGTAACGAAACCAGGGTTCACTAGTTTCAGCTGGTAATGAAGCCACATGATACAGTAAGGTCAACACACGTAATGCAGTAAGGTCAACACACATGATACAGTAAGGTCAACACACATGATACAGAAAGGTCAACACACATGATGCAGTAAGGTCAACACACATGATGCAGTAAGGTCAACACACATGATACAGTAAGGTCAACACACGTAATACAGTAAGGTCAACACACATGATACAGTAAGGTCAACACACATGATACAGTAAGGTCAACACACGTAATACAGTAAGGTCAACACACATGATGCAGTATGGTCAACACACATGGTACAGTAAGGCCAACACACATGATACAGTAAGGTCAACACACATGATACAGTAAGGTCAACACACGTGATACAGTAAGGTCAACACACGTAATACAGTAAGGTCAACACACATGATACAGTAAGGTCAACACACGTCATACAGTAAGGTCAACACATATGATACAGTAAGGTCAACACACATGATACAGTAAGGTCAACACACATGATACAGTAAGGTCAACACACATGATACAGTAAGGTCAACACACATGATACAGTAAGGTCAACACACATCATACAGTAAGGTCAACACATATGATACAGTAAGGTCAACACACATGATACAGTAAGGTCAACTCGCATGATACATTAAGGTCAACACACGTGATACAGTAAGGTCTACACACATGATACAGTAAGGTTAACACTCATGATACAGTAAGGTCAACACACATGATACAGTATGGTCAACACACATGATACAGTAAGGTCAACACATATGATACAGTAAGGTCAACACACATGATACAGTATGGTCAACACACATGATACAGTAAGGTCAACACTCATGATGCAGTAAGGTCAACACACATGATACAGTAAGGTCAACACACATGATACAGTAAGGTCAACACTCACAATACAGTAAGGTCAACTCACATGATGCAGTATGGTCAACACACATGAAACAGTAAGGTCAACACACATGATACAGTATGGTCAACACACATGATACAGTAAGGTCAACACATATGATACAGTAAGGTCAACACACATGATACAGTATGGTCAACACACATGATACAGTAAGGTCAACACATATGATACAGTAAGGTCAACACTCATGATACAGTAAGGTCAACACACATGATGCAGTAAGGTCAACACTCATGATACAGTAAGGTTAACACACATGATGCAGTATGGTCAACACACATGATATAGTAAGGTCAACACACATGATACAGTATGGTCAATACACATGATACAGTAAGGTCAACACACATAATACAGTAAGGTCAACACTCATGATACAGTAAGGTCAACACACATACAGTAAGGTCAACACACATGATACAGTAAGGTCAACACACATGATACAGTAAGGTCAACACACATACAGTAAGGTCAACACACATGATACAGTAAGGTCAACGCACAGGATACAGTAAGGTCAACACACGTGATAAAGTAAGGTCAACATACATGATACAGTAACGTCAACACACATGATACAGTGAGGTCAATACACACGATACAGTAAGGTCAACACTCCTGATACAGTATGGTCAACACACGTGATACAGTAAGGTCAACACGCATAGAGTCAGGTCAACACTCATGATACAGTATGGTCAACACACATGATACAGTAAGGTCAACACACATGATACAGTAAGGTCAACACACAAGATACAGTAAGGTCAACACACATGATACAGTAAGGTCAACACACATGATACAGTCAGGTCAACACTCATGATACAGTAAGGTCAACACACGTGATACAGTAAGGTCAACACACGTGATACAGATAGGTCAACACACTTGATACAGATAGGTCAACACACACGATTCAGTAAGGTCAACACACACGATTCAGTAAGGTCAACACACTTGATACAGATAGGTCAACACTCATGATACAGTAAGGGCAACACACATGATACAGTAAGGTCAACACATAATACAGTAAGGTCAACACACATACAGTAAGGTCAACACACATGATACACTAAGGTCAACACTCATAATACAGTAAGGTCAACACACATACAGTAAGGTCAACACACATGATACAGTAAGGTCAACACACATGATACAGTAAGGTCAACACACACGATACAGTAAGGTCAGCACACATGATACAGTAAGGTCAACACACATGATACAGTAAGGTCAACACAGAAGACTAGTCCCGGAGGTAAGGGACATGTCCTACGAGGAGAGGTTAAGGGAAATCGACCTGACGACACAGGACAGGAGGGATAGGGATAATATGATAACGACATATAAAATACTGAGAGGAATTGACAAGGTGGACAGAGACAGGATGTTCCAGAGATGGGACACAGCAACAAGGTGGACAGACAGGATGTTCCAGAGATGGGACACAGCAACAAGGTGGACAGACAGGATGTTCCAGAGATGGGACACAGTAACAAGGGGACACAGTTGGAAGTCGAAGACACAGATGAATCACTGGGATGTTAGGAAGTATTTCGTCAGTCACAAAGTTGTCAGAAAGTGGAATAGCCTGGGAAGTGATGTAGTGGGGGCAGGATCCATACATAGCTTTAAGAAGAGGTATGACAAAGCTCATGAAGCAGAAAGTGACCTATTAGCGATCAGTGAAGAGATGGAGCCAGGAGCTGTGAATCGACCCCTACAACCACAACTAGGTGAGTACACATAACACAACAAGAGGAAGACAATAAAATAAACACAGAGAACACAATAAGGTCAACACTCAGAACACAGTAAGGTCAAGATACACACTACACAGTAAGACACAGAGAGTAAGGTGACTGACCGCGGGTCAGCTGGTGGAAGGCCAGACGTACAGTGGAGAAGTTACCCTGGCCCAGCTCTCCTCTAAAGCGGTAGAAACCAACACGACGACCCAGGGTCACCTCCTTGATCCACCGCTGGTCATGATGGAGACCATACAACACTCTCTCATAGGCCGTCCTCTGATCCTCATCTTCACCTGTACAAACACATCACATTAATAAGTAGGAGAATGCATGGAGGATTCTAACCATGCTTACAAATAGGCTCAAGTCTGTATCCAGTCAGCCACAAAGGTTACAACAAGATGATTTTGCAGGCTATATGGCTTTTAGGGGCATGAGAACAGATGTACCGTGTAAGCTTCTGGGACTGTGGGATGAGACAGTAGTGCCACAGTTAGTGCTGCTGATTCAACTATGTCACAGAAATTCTGGTTGTAAAATCATTCTATTGCAAGATCTGTGGTTGAGTGGTTACTGTGTTGTGTCTGCTATATGAGGGGACCGGTTCGAGTCTCTTTCTATTCTTTATTGACTGAGATGCCTTCATTATGACTTAGCTTGGGTTTATAGATACGTCATATAACTGAACCATTATATGTTAAAGTCAGGGAAAGAGCTAAACTCGTAGGGGTCACACAGAGCCTGGAGAATGACAGGGAAGAAGTTTGATTCCTGGAAAATGAGAGTAGATGTAGCGTAGAGCCAGAGATTGATAGTTTAGCTGAGGTCAGAGGTCAGGGAAGGTTGTCTCGAGGTGTGTCCTACTGTTGTGTGCCTTATTCTGACCACCTTCCTGTGTTACTGTGACTAGTTAATGGTCTCTGGCAGACCCAAACGTCGTCATACGCTTCTTTCTATCTACCTGGAGTATACCTGGAGTATGTTCTGGGGGTCAACGCCCCCGTGGCCCGGTCCTTGACCAGGCCTCCCAGTGGAGTGTTATAGTTTGTTCTACCACTGCTGAACTACTACTACTACTATTACTACTACTACTACTACTACTACTACTCCCTCCTCTCGTTCTACCACTCCCGTCCCTCACTCCCCCCCAGTATATATTCTGGCTCCCTTTCCTTCATGCTTCTCTATGTGACTACTTAATGGACCAAGTCGGACCGAAACGTCGTCATAAGTTTCATGCCTACGTGCAGTCTAGTAAGTTTATTTAAGTACGGGTACACAATAGTCACAAATTATCATACATGGTAACATATGTGTAACATATTGTGTACCCTATATCCATCGTGTGGATGGATATGGGGTACATATAGCTACACAAAAGACCTAGGAACTAGATCAAAACGGTTAACGGGAATACATATGGATTTATATCTACGGTTGACTTATCTGTTGCTTGTAGATTTACGAAATTTGCTTAATATATCTGGTATCTTATTTTCATTAATATTTTGACATATATAGATTATACTGTCTGTCTCTTTAATCCTCAATATATTAATAACAAAGCACATAGTGTTCAAGACAGTGACCACAGGACTGGACACATCATCTGTGTGTCTGCCAAACTGTCAGCAGCAGTTGTAACCAAGCTTAATTAAGCCTGGCCACTACATCAATGTTCACATTGTAAATTGCTCCATAAACGTACTTATCTACGTTCATGTTATCATAGTGGCTTATAGATCTACTCAGACATCTAACTGCGTTACTATATCATTCACTTTCATTAATGACTTCTCTCTTAATTTTATTCCTAGTGCTAGACACAGACACACACACCAGAGCCGTATCGTACGCCTTCCTTCAGGAAATTATCTTGGTCTAATTTATCAACTTTATCATGAAGGAGTAATCCAGTGCGTGATGGGATCCGAGAAGAGAAGACGGAAGAATGAAACTGAACAGCGGAAACAAGCTTGGAGAATGCAGTGTTCAATGGTTACCAGAACAAGTGTACGGATGTCAGCAAGAAGACGGGCAGGACAGCACCTCCACAAGCAAAGGTAAGGCTGTACCTACTGTCCATGGTAAGGAGGTACCTACAGTCTGAGGTAAGGATGTACTTACAGTCTAAGGTTAGTTAGTTTTAATATTTTTATTATGCACCCCATACCCATCCTGTGGGCGGTAGTCAAAAGATTACAAAGGTATATAATGGGTCCAGGGACTGGACCCCAAAGTTATGATAGCTGAACTAGTTACAAAGGTAACGAACTCCAGGTAGATCTGGTCACAGTCATGGCAAGTTACAGAGGTAATGAATCAGCCTCACTCCTATACATGGTTACAGTCATGAACAAATTACAAAGTAATGAACCACTGATACGTCCACACCTGGTCACAATTGTAATGAGTTATAAATACAAATATTAAGTGGGCCATACACCCACACGAGCGCGCGCGCACGCACACACATATGCACACGAGCGTACAAATATATGCACACACACAAGCACGCACACACACACACAAACACACACACACACAACGTAGTAATGTATTATTTACAGCTAGCAAAGTCAGGGTATTTCTCCAGAATGGTCTGTAATATACCACTGTGGATAAAATACTTAGCCATTTCTTGAACACTTCTGAGTGAGTTGTTTCTAAATTCATTAATTTTATCGCACTCCAGTACATAATGACGCAGGGTGTGACAATAATCCATCTGGCAAAGTTTACATTTCGTTTGGTCTACATCTGGTGGTGGTGATTTAACCTGCCAAAGATACTTGTAACCCAGCCGGAGCCGGGCGGTAGTGACATCCAAGAGTCTGCTTATTTTGTTGGATGCACCATAGACATGTGGCTCCTCCTGCATGATAGAATGATGATAGGTGGACTGACTGAGGTAAGGATGTACCTACTGTCTGAGGTATGGATGTACCTTCTGTCTGAGGTAAGGATGTACCTTCTATCTGAGGTAAGGATGTACCTACTGTCTGAGGTAAGGATGTACCTACTGTCTGAGGTAAGGATGTACCTACTGTCTGAGGTAAGGATGCACCTACTGAGGTAAGGATGTACCTACTGCCTTAAGGTAAGAATGTACCTACTGTCTGAGGTAAGGATGTTCCTACTATCTGAGGTAAGGATGTACCTGCTGTCTGAGGTAAGGATGTACCTACTGTCTGAGGTAAGGATGTACCTACTGTCTGAGGTAAGAATGTATCTACTGTCTGAGGAAAGGATGTACCTACTCTCTGAGGTAAGGATGTACCTACTCTCTGAGGTAAGGATGTGCCTACTGTCTGAGGTAAGGATGTACCTAGTGTCTGAGGTAAGGAAGTACATACTGTCTGAGGTAAGGATGTACCTACTGTCTGAGGTAAGGATGTACCTACTGTCTGAGGTAAGGATGTACCTACTGTCTGAGGTAAGGATGTACCTACTGTCTGAGGTAAGGAGTTACCTACTTTTTGAGGTAAGGATGTACCTACTGTCTGAGGTAAGGATGTACCTTCTGTCTGAGGTAAGGATGTACCTTCTGTCTGAGGTAAGGATGTACCTACTGTCTGAGGTAAGGATGTACCTACTGATGTAAGGATGTACCTACTGCCTTAAGGTAAGAATGTACCTACTGTCTGAGGTAAGGATGTTCCTACTGTCTGAGGTAAGGATGTACCTACTGTCTGAGGTAAGGATGTTCCTACTGTCTGAGGTAAGGATTGTACCTGCTGTCGAGGTAAGGATTTTACCTACGGGTTTTGGGGGTTTAAGGATGTACCTACTGAGGTAAGAATGTATCTACTGTCTGAGGTAAGGATGTACCTACTCTCTGAGGTAAGGATGTACCTACTCTCTGAGGTAAGGATGTGCCTACTGTCTGAGGTAAGGATGTACCTAGTGTCTGAGGTAAGGAAGTACCTACTGTCTGAGGTAAGGATGTACCTACTGTCTGAGGTAAGGATGTACCTTCTGTCTGGGGTTTAAGGATGTACCTACTGTCTGAGGAAAGGATGTACCTTCTGTCTGAGGTAAATATGTACCTACTGTCTGAGGTAAGGATGTACCTACTGTCTGAGGTAAGGATGTACCTTCTGTCTGAGGTAAGGATGTACCTACTGTCTGAAGTAAGGATGTACCTACTGTCTGAGGTAAGGATGTACTTAGTGTTTGAGGTAAGGATGTACCTACTGAGGTAAGGATGTACCTACTGAGGTAAGGATGTACCTACTGCCTTAAGGTAAGAATGCACCTACTGTCTGAGGTAAGGATGTTCCTACTGTCTGAGGTAAGGATGTACCTGCTGTCTGAGGTAAGGATGTACCTACTGTCTGAGGTAAGGATGTACCTACTGAGGTAAGAATGTATCTACTGTCTGAGGTAAGGATGTACCTACTGTCTGAGGTAAGGATGTACATACTGTCTGAGGTAAGGATGTACATACTGTCTGAGATAAGGATGTACCTTCTGTCTGAGGTAAGGATGTACCTACTGTCTGAGGTAAGGATGTACATACTGTCTGAGGTAAGGATGTACCTACTGTCTGAGGTATGGATGTACATACTGTCTGAGGTAAGGATGTACCTACTGTCTGAGGTAAGGATGTACCTACTGTCTGAGGTAAGGATGTACCTTCTGTCTGAGGTAAGGATGTACCTACTGTCTGAGGTAAATATGTACCTACTGTCTGAGGTAAGGATGTACCTACTGTCTGAGGTAAGGATGTACCTTCTGTCTGAGGTAAGGATGTACCTTCTATCTGAGGTAAGGATGTACCTACTGTCTGAGGTAAGGATGTACCTACTGTCTGAGGTAAGGATGTACCTACTGTCTGAGGTAAGGATGTACCTTCTATCTGAGGTAAGGATGTACCTACTGTCTGAGGTAAGGATGTACCTTCTGTCTGAGGTAAGGATGTACCTTCTGTCTGAGGTAAGGATGTCCCTTCTGTCTGGGTAAGGATGTACCTACTGTTGAGGTAAGGATTACAAACTGTCTGAGGAAAGGGATGTCCCTACTGTTGAGGTAGGATTTTACTCTGTTGAGGTAAGGATGTACCTACTGTTGAGGTAAGGTGTACCTACGCTGGGGTATGGTGTACTACTGTTGAGGAAAGGATGTCCCACTTTTGGGTAGGGATGTACATACTGTCTGAGGTAAGGATTACCACGTCTGGGTAAGGATGTACCACTTCTGAGGTAAGGATGTACCTACTGTTGGGGAAAGGGGTGTACCTACTGTCTGACGAAAGGTAAACTACTGTCTGAGATTTGCAAGTCACACACCGGTAAAAAAATTTT